GGCAAGTCAAATGTAGTCGCAGATGCCTTATCGCGACAAGTTAGTATAGTAACTGCAGACCCTCCATTTAGTGGCTGAAGATGTAAAAAGTTCTCAACGAACGATCCCATGTGGCCTGTGTATCGATTCCTGCTCCAGGAAGAACTTATTCTGACTGTGAAGCCACTCCAGCACCCATCAGTGACTTATTGTACATGAACCAAGAATTAACTGTAACGAAGCGAAGCCCGATTGGGTAACTCCAAGTGTAATCCCTACTACTAACAACCTTGGGAAAGAGTTGGGCTCTAGATTTTGTTAACTAATTTCGCAATGTTGCCCTCCAAGGCAACAAACATCTGGTGTGTTATGGTAGAACTCATTTGCACATCACCAGATATGTGAAGTTAGTTCGCTATTGCAGATAAGACTGCCGAGCATCAGTAGTCAAAAGCGTTTAAAGAAGCGCATTATCTGCAGGGCATACCACCGAACCGTAGTCCTAAGTCCCTAGGTAACAATAATGTGAGGAGAATTCTGTAATGAAATTCTTGAAATTTGATGATACCTTGTATACGAATATCTCTAAATCCACCCATTGTTCCTCATTCCATCCTGCCAGCCAATGGGTTAGGCGTGAACGAACCAATAAGAAAAGTACTTATGTCTTGAGAGCCACTAACAATACCCAACAGTGAAACTTGGGATGAAAGTTATACCAGAGTGGGGGCAGTGTGGGCTATAATTCTAGCTAGGACCTCCAAAGTTTCTATAGTGACACTCCACATTATGCATGTATGGTGTAGATAAACAGTTTAGCCTATGAGTTGTTATATCTAATAATGCCTAAACTCAAATTAGGGCAACCCTGATGATTTCATAGCTACACATACCAGCTTAGGCTCCAAAGTGTTTTTAAGAAGAATCCGTGAAACACTTCAAATAAATCAATCAGCTGAATTTACAAAGAGTCGCAAACACTCGAGCAAAGCCATCGCAAAATCAAAGTAGGTTCGAGAGTTATGTCTGATTAACTATTAACAAACGTCTGCAATGGGGCCAAAGCTTGATCGGAAAAGTTTGTTGGTCTTATCGAGTATATTTGAACATATCAGCTGGTAATAAGTATAAGGTTAGAGAGATTAGTAGCTGGTTAGTATATAAGAAACGCATTTAATCATGATGTAAGTTAGTATGTGATGATAATGAAGTTCCAACGCCAGACTAATGTGACAGACTCTGTACAATCCCCTCGCTGATCCTACAAGAACCTCATCCTCTGATACTCAGTCAGACGCTCAACCTGAATGTCGTTATACCTAACGTACAAACGCCAGGTATTGAAAATCGCTCAAAAATTCATTTGTAACTTCGCAATACAGATTTGGCCTCAAATAGGCAGCATGAGTTAGCGTCCAATGGCTACAGAGTTTGATCCTCCCAGACATACACCCATTCTGCATATGTCAATCTCACACTACAGAGTTGGGGTTAAATGTACAATAACTGTTATTGAGAGAATAATTACAGTATCAACTTATCAGAAATCAAGAATTTTTTTTTTGTGTTCATGTTCTCTCTCCGCGTTCTGAGAGTTAACAGTCCAACGGATCTGAGTTGCACTCGAATCTGCCTTTCATGTTAAAGCACTCTTAACTCTTTCTTTGTATATATTCTCTTCCTCAGAATCCGTAGATCACATGAATACAAGATCGTCGATCAAATTTTTTTTTATCACTTGTTAATCTCAACGTTTAGTTTTCTGTTGTTCATTTGTTGAGTTTTTAAAGATTGTATTCTATAGTATAACCTTTGTATTGGCATTACAGTTTCAGTTACGTAAGCTTCCATTCCAATGTTCTACTTATGTATGTTATAAATTTTAACGTACTAGAACAACCATCCAACTTTGAATGGTTATTACCCAGGTCCATGTAATTCGAACCTCGCCCCACATGACAGATTGTTTCAACTGCCTCCCAGCATACAGATATGGGGATTACCGTGTCAGTCTCCAAGAAGGCTTGGTGTTACATTGTCACCTTTAAGTCAGTACTACCTGATGCAGCCTGGGGGGGGGGCGGGGGGGGGGGGGGGGGGGGGGGGGTCTCAGAGGAGTAGCAAGTCAAGGAAGCTTCAACTCGTTCCGCAGTCATTTAGGTGTGGGGCGCGTGAAGGCTCTCTGTACATTCTCCAGGTCAGCAATTTCGCCTGTCTTGAAGGCGGCAGTTAGTGTACAGCAGTATTCCAGCCTAGAGAGAACAAGCGATTTGAACAGAATCATCATGGGCTTGGCATCCCTAGGTTTGAAGGTTCTCATTACCCATCCTATCATTTTCTAGCAGATGAGGTAGATACATTGTTGTGATCTTTGAAAGTGAGATCCTCTGACATTATCACTCCCAGGTCCTTCACATTAGTTTTTCGTTCTATTGAATAGATGGAATTTGCTTTATACTCCGGTATAGTTTTAATTTCTTCGGGTTTTCCAAATTGGAGTAATTTAAATTTCTCTTCAACT